GGTAAACATGAGCACACGCTTGACCCCGGGCTCTAACCAAATACGACTTTTGGCTGTTTCTCCACCAAAAAAACATGATGTAGAAACAGAGGACATAGTGTTTTAATTAAGAGCGACCGCTCGCCGTACATTTTTAGAAGGGGTTGCCCACTTTTTTACGCATGAGCTGCCCACAGTGAACCTCTGATTCCAACCTCTACTGTTCAGCCTTCGCAGGACTTTTAGACTCTATTCAGCTAATCCGTGCTTCGCCCCCCAAGAAATGTCTGAGTTAAACTTGTAGCTTTATTTATTTAAAAAAAAAAGTACGATAAAGTTTAATAGAGCTGCTGCTGTGATTTAAATCAGTGCCAACTTGGAGAAAATCTGTTTTAAAGCGCATCTTTTTCATTTAAAATCATTAAGGGATGAATGTGATAAAAATTATTTTGTACCGTTTTTCTTTGAGTCTTTCTTCGAAGGGCTTTGAGTCAACAAGATAACAGCGTCCACGCGTTTAAAGACGGGGCAAAGTGCACAGACCTCCTGCGCACAAATGCCTGCTTCTCTCTGAGCCGGACTGTAGTCGGGCTTAAAGGCACTACAGCAGCTGGGAGGGTTACCTGCGTCATGAGGCGGTCTGCACCTGTGTTCTCCTCATCCTTGAAGATGATGTCGGGGTTGTAGTTGGGGGTGAGCTCCTTGAAGCGCTCGGAGTTCCGGGTAATTTTCCCTTCGTATCTCCCGCTGGCTCCCAGCGTCTTCTCGCCCACGTTGGGGGTGAACTGCTTGTAGGCGAGAGGGACCAGCTTCCGCGGCGGCCGCCTCTTGCCATTGCCTCTGCCCGGTCCGCACCCCTCGCTGACCGGTGACAGGAGGAACGCGCACCCGGCGAGGCACGTCACCAGCGTCGAGAGCAGCATTCCGCCTGGCGGCCGGTGTGTCACCCCCTCCCACCTACTGCGGGAGGCCAATATGTCTCCGCTGTATTTCTGTTGGAGTGTCCCCTCCTTCCACGCGTGGGTTCCCCTTTGTAATCTTAGAGCGGAGACAACAGAGCAGGACTCATCCCAGAGTCCCCAGAAGTCGCCATTCCCGGCGCGTAAAAGTGGCCAGTGCGCCGCTGGAGCCCAGCTGGAGAGAAGTGAACCTGTTCTCTGCGCCGCTGCTCACGCACTGCGTGTCCCGAGTGCACGCGGAGTGCAGGGGCATAAATAGGAGAGGTGAGTTTATCTTGGCAAGCAGGTTCAAAGCTGTGCCTCTGCGTTGAAACTGTGAGAAACGGGCTCGGAGACAGACGCGGAGGCGCGCGGCGCGTAGGCTGTTGGACACGGCGGTCACGGGGTGTCCCCGCAGCGGTTTCTGTCTCTCGGTTTTCCTCTCAATGCGTCGCTGTGGCGCGCGGCGGCTGGCAGAAATGCTGGCAGGAAGCAAGCCTGCTACAGTGCACACGAGGTGCCGCGGGAGGAGGAGAAGGAGACCGCGCCCTTCTGGACCTGCCCTCTACTCAGTCCTCTCCTCCCATCGCGGCCGCTTTCATCCGTTTATTGTCGGCTCGGGCCTGAGCCGAGGACACGCAAACACAGAGCCACGAGACCCGCGAGGGCCGGTGTCCTTTGGACCCGCGTTCCCAAGGCGAGACGCATGAGGGCGAGCGCAGGTGCGCGCATGACCCCTCCTTCCTCAGTGCAGGTAGCAGCTCTGCTGTGGGCAACGAAGCTGTGAGCACATCAAGCGAGAGCAGGGGGACCTCGACGACACAGAGACCTCGACTTACACAAAAACACACTAAAAGCGAACACGTGACGATAGTTCAGGCTTTAAAGGACTAAAATCGTATAATTCTGCCTCATTATTAAAGGCCCTGAATTCTGAGATCACCTCAAGGTGATGGACGCGTAAATTTGGGTTTGATTACCTTGAGTGACTGCCTTCGTCCATGTTTCAGGCTTTTCTTTTATAAGTGGCTTGCTGAGAGGGGAAAAAGTCAGAAATCATAGAAACTAAACATAAAACAAACCTAAAGGTGACAAATGTTTACATAAATGAGTGCAAATGCTCAACAGTGACAAGCTGATGCCATTAAGTGCAGTTTTACCTGCCTTATCACCAAAGAACATGATCTACTTTGGTACAGTGCTCCAAAAGGTGCTTCTTTCTTGATTCTGACTCATTTCTTTGTTAAATGCCTTGTTGGAGCTTTCAGAAGCTACAGTATAACCAGCAACACAGTTCAAAGAGTTGGGCTGAATAGCATCTTTTGTGAATCTTTGCTGAGGAGAAAGGTTCTCTTAAATTCAGAGATTACACACATCACAGATGGTTTCACTGGTACCGAATGTAGCTAACTGGAGACACTGGAACAAAATTAACCCTGACATGCTTACCGGCTGCTTTGTTGTCGGGGTTACAGAGACTACGTTCAGGGAGATCACTTGAGGATAACTGAGCGGCTTATTGGACAGATCCGGTTTCACAAACCACCCAACACCGTTTCAGAGCCCATTGAGCCCTCTGCTGATGTCACACCCTCCATCACCAGGGGTGAGGAGAGGCCTGCTGAGGGGTCCCAAGATAAACCAGAAAACAGGAGACCTTTCCAACAACCCTCCACCAGATCAGGAAACTCATGGAAACTGTCATCTGATGCAACATGTATTGACCAAAAATTTTATTTTAGCAACTATCGAAGAAACTTAAGGATTTCAATCCCTTGTGCTGACTGTTTTTAAAGTATCATGAAAATTAGGCCCAAGAAAAAGCAGCAGCTATGATTTTTACACAGATGACTGTTTTTTGGTTTGTTTTTGCAGATCGTCATCTCCGGCTCTGGCTGGATTCTTCCTTAACTAATCCTGGACTTTGATGTACCCCCCACCCACCCTGCAGAGAGACTTTGAGGGTTAAACAATTTCCTTCAAACTTTTCTCCAGAAGACCATCTAGAGACAAAGTTACTGTTCTTGATCTTCAATTACTATATACAAGATAAAGAAAAGCGGGTTTTAGAAAATGCTGGAATCAAACATTTGTAAGCTTTGTTTAATAAATGGTGGTTGAAATGCTTTATGGAAACAGAATAGAATATCTCACCATAAATGAGTCAATGCCCATAGGCTCCCATTTAAAATGTCCAACTTTACAAAACAAACATCTACAGCATATTGCAAAAAATAGTTTTGCTCTTTTTGAATGGTAGAGCTTGACGGATCGATCGTATCGATACAAATGCTGGTATTGGTATCAGATCGATATTAGAATGATAGAGGATAGAAACAAAGTATCAATATGTAGACCACTGAATTGTGTTAAATACATTTTTTTTAATTAAAAAAAACATACCCTGTGAAACCTGTCTTAACCTTTTGTGTTCACGGTCTATTATACTTACAGCCTACAGCACATTTAAACAACAGAAGTTGACACAAAGTGCTTTAGAAACAGACACATTTATATTCCAGGTCTCTAATAAATCCAGTTTCAAAGTACACGAAAAGCTAAAAACTATATTTTTCTGTATTGAATATTTATTAATGTGTTCAGAATCTGCAAATTAATGATGAGTCTTCTCATAAGTCATGACAGACTGCTCTCCTTTATGGGTTAAAAATATTTGCTATCAGCAATACTGACCCTGTACTTACTTGGTTTTGGATCGATACCAAAATTTGCTCTACTGCAGTGATTTTGTAGATAACAGCCTTTAAATTGGGTTCATTTGAATTAAGAACTGAAATGACCGGTATTGGTATTAGCAATATTGGCCCTGCATTTACTTGATATCTGATTGATAGGAACATTTGCAGTATCAAATAACACTACTGGATAGTTTCTCGAAATATCTATTCAATTTCCTCTTCAAAACGTGATCACTTCTGCCTCAAGAAAACTAACAATGCAGCAACCAAAATGCTAACACTGACGCTTCCAAATTGAGTCCAAATACCATTTGGGTGATGCCATAGTGGCTACATCCATCTTCTATATACAGTCTGTGGATCAAAAACAGTTTTTCTGCCATGTTAAACTTAGAGAAGCTTATAGAGCATTAATTCTATTTCCTGGTTGTATTAATTTAATAAACCCTCATTTACATTTAGAAACATCTGTCTGTGTTGTCTGTCGTGAAAGAGTCGTGAAAGAGGGACAATTCTGATTGGCTGGTATCCAAAGTTACTCTCAGGTATCTCTGATCAACAAATCTGAACACACAGGTGATCAAAGAGACAAAATCATGATGTGATATGATTGATTTTTGCAAATAAACAACCGAAATGGAATTACACAATCCTCATGTTTCACCACCTTCTTTCTTTTGACCATAAAAGCAGCATTTGTCACTTAAATAAATAACAATAATCTGCTCTTTCAGTGGAGAAAACTGCAATTTTTTTTTTTAACAAATGTCTCTCACACAGAAACTCTTTGGAGCCATGCAAGCAAACACTGACTTCTCAAACTAAAACTTCAATAGCATTCCCGACATGCTGCAACACCTTGAGTCAACATCTCACTGAGCCCTGAAAAAGGAGAGCGGCTCCTCTATCGACCGCTGTCTGCTCATTGTGCTCCGACTGTCTGGGTCACGGAGAAAGCAACTACTTAAGATTGGCGGAAAAATAGAAGCTTGAAGTTTTAGTGAAAAGTTGTTGAAGCTTTTATTTTATAACATTAAAAACTTAATATTCCTTCGAAAGCTGTTTTTGAGTTTAATCTCTTATTATGTTCAATTTTTTTAAAAAATTCTGTGGTTTACATAACAAATAACAAACATAAACACCCATTAAAAATACATGTATACCTTTAATTGGCAATATGACTTCTTTAAAAACATTTCACACCTAGTTAAAGATACATGAAGGTTAATCGTTTATTAAAACCTAAAAAGAACAAGAAATTACCTACCTACCAGCTGTCAGTCATCAGTACAATCATCAAAAAGAAAACCTGATCCCACAGTGGTTTTTCTATTTCTATTTTTAACAAAAATGGTAAAAATAGAAAAAAGTATTTATTTAATGACACTTTTAGTCTAAAATCTAAACATTTTTAAAAGTAGGTTTGTAAAAATGTCCTCAAGAGTGTAAAAATTCAATAAGAAGTGTTTTTAAAGGACGGCACTTTTTCTAAATTCGTAATTGTGTGTGCGTCCTACTGCTCGAGATCATCTGAACAGGCCCACTTTCTTCTTCTTCGGTTTGGAGGCCGGTCGCTCTGCAGCGGTGGATGTGACAGGAAGAGACTGAGGAAGACAAAAAACACAAAAGGAGGAATGTTTTTCATAGTCTATTTCCAATATCCTGTTTTTAAAATCACTCAATCTCTTCTTTTTTCTTCCCCAAGGAAGCATTTAAGCAGGAGACGCATTTCACAGTTTATCTGCTGACTTGTAATTTGAATATTGTAGATCCCAGCTGATGAATTTGGATTTAAAATCTCTTTTAATCTCCAGCTTTGTTGCATTTGTTCCCCTACAAATAACCCTAATTGGTCAAATCTTAAAAAAAAAAAAAAAAGTCTTCTGTTGTACCTGCTGCATTTTGGGTCTGTTGACCATCTTGGCTCCACGTGTTTCCGGCTCCCCGTTGTTGGTCTGTTTTTCATTCCCATCAGCCGATTCACTGCTGACAGATCCGCCGGCTGAAGGACGAGAATGAAGATGTTTATTAAACTAAATAATGACTCAGAGAAGCACCAACATGTCAAATCTGCCATCAGTAAATCAGGATTAAACTTGCTGCTACTACAACCGATCAGCAATTTCTAGAGATTTCAAAAAAGAAAAAAGAAAACAAAAAAAAGACCTGCTGCAGGAGTGGACACTAACACCTGCTAGTGTCCACTCGTGGCTGTATGCCCACAGACTCCTATCTTCGAATGTCCAACTCTTTATAGCAGATATAAACATGTCTACAGCCTGATGCAAAGAATTTCATAGTCTCTAAAGATAGTTTAACCCTTGATATTAGATGGATCTCATACCTCACACATTTGGATTTTGCTGAGGCTAAAACTTAGCATCGTTTCCTCTTTGATTGACAGCAGCTGGTTTGCTGCCTAAAGGCTTCATCACAGCTAACTGGAGTCACTAAACTGGACCACTGGAGTGTGTTTGTACTGCTGATGCTTAAACTGATTGTTTTCATTCCAAAGTTACAGTGCTGTGCAAAAGTCTTGATCCACTCCTCATTTCTTTATATTTTGCTTCCAAGCAGCCAGGCTTGCAATTTGTAATTTTTAAAAGTGCTTTTGACCAGTCGCTCTGGCGGCAAAGGTTTTCTTAAGACACTGGCCCCCTTTTCACCAATTTTCAGTTGAGTCCTTATAGCTGATGATTTTCAGAGGAATGATTTTGTATCTTAAGCTATTTAACACTATGACCTATGAATCATCTTAAGCAACTAAAGTGCACTAAACAGACAACTCAGTGAAGAAACCATTTTAAATTGCATCCTCAGACACTTTGTTACTAGCAGCCTGTGACAAAAACACATCATTTGCTCTCATTTTCATGATGTATCAGCTCATCAACACAGATCAGCTGATGGGGAGAAAAAAAACAAAAAATGATTTGAAGGGATTTTATTCTTCTTTTTTTTTTCACTAAAGTTGAAAATGCAAAACCACTGGATAACTTATGGGTGGCTATGTCCATCTTTTATATACAGTTTGTTGTTTTTACACAGGGGAGTCTTTAAAAACAAAGCTGGTTGTTATGACCTGAGCTGACTCCCATATACAGGGGTTTAACTTCTGTACCTGGCATATGTATTTATTACATTGAATAACCTTTATCTCCAATATCTATTAGAAACCATGTCTCACTGCTTCACATTGTTATAAACTAACTTCTGTTCAAACTGAAGGCTGTGACAGATGTTTTAGCACATAATAGGAAACTGAAAATGTAAACTGGTGTTCTGATTTATTTTGCTTCTGTATTTATGAACATTTATTTATATGAAAAGTTGTTAGTTGCCCTGTCCTTTACGTTTGCATGTTGTAAACTTCCCCTTTCATTCTTGCCGCCATCTTTCTGTTACAAATCACCGCTGACACGCTTTTAAGTATCTGGTTGACCCCAGATACTTAAGCTCATCTACCTTCACTGTAACACCTGTCTGCCTCTCATTCACACACATATCTTGCTTCTACCAACTTTTATTCATTTTCTCTCCAGTGCATACCTCCACCTATCCAGGCTCTCCTTCATTTGCTCCTTACTGTCATTACAGATCACGGTGTCATCTGCAAACATCATAGTCCATGCAGACTCCTGCCTGACCTCATCTATCAGCTTGTCCATCACTACTGCAAACAGAAGGGGCTCAGAGTCGATCCTTGATCTAAACCCACACACACCTTCAACCCATCAGTCACTCCTATCACACGGCTTTCCACTCTCTTACAGTCCTCTCTACCACTTCTGACCTCCTCATGCAGTAGGGCAGTTCTTCTCTTGGATTCAACACATTTATTTACTTTTTAGATTTTTGTAATGGATATCAGCCTCAATATGCAAACTGTCATCTGCAAAGTGTGCAGATGTATGCATTCAAAATCAAAAATATACAACCAAAACTATCACAATGCAATTTCTTTGATGAAGATAAAGAGGAAATATTAAATGCTCACATAAACCTGACTAAATCTTTAAATTTGACCATTAAATTTCAGCGCAGTTGTGAAGCTGTAATGTTCACCTGAAGCGTTTAAGACGAGTTCTGGCTCCTTGTTGGCGTGTTCGACCTCCTCAGCAGAGTGCTGCTCCGACAGTTTGCGCTTTCGTGCACTTCCGTGAGTGACGATGGCGGCGTATAGCTCCTGAAGATCGCCATCGAAGCCCAGAGCTTCCTGTTGTTCAGAACAGAGCAGAGGAAGAGCCTGATGGAGAGAAACAGAACGAGGCAAAACCTGCGTGAAAAACTGGCAAAGATTCAAAGCACTTAAAAGTTTCATATGTCTTATTATTTCTCCAGTGTTGTCAGAGGTAAAAATTGTTCAAGCTCCAGATTTTCCCAAATGTGTTATGAACCCTTGAACCTTTCAACAAGGCTTTATGCAAACTCTGAAAGGTGTGATAACGGATATATTAAAACAGGAATTAACCTCCATGCATGAAAAAAAAGAAAACAAAAAGATGCTGCTCTTTTAGATGCAATGTAGTTTTAAAAAGTGCAATATGCACTCAGAGATTAAAAAAGAGGCAGCCATCTACTGTTACTGGTTACGTGGAAAAGGAAAAAGAAGCACAAAGAGGGAGCAAGAACAAAACAAACTATAGAAAAAAAAAAAAAGACTAGGGCCATAACTGATGGAAGATTTACCAAAATGGGATGTTTGAACCTTAAAAACTCCCATGTAAGAATCCTGGACAAGCCCCCAAATTTGTCATAATGCAACTCATGAGCCATGACAAATAACAGGAGAGAGAGACAAAGTGTACCAATTATTAACCAAGAGAAGCAAAATTAAAAACACTAGGACTAAACCAACACTATGGTGGATAGATCGAGAGACCTAAATGCTCCAGATGCTCCCAGTTACACTGATTAAAAGATGGCTAAATGTGACACAGGATCATCACAGTACAAAGGGTGTCTGTTACATAGTACAGCGCCCTGGCATTCCCTCCCATTCTACTCACTCAAATTCATTCAAACTTACTCTAACCACAAATAAGCCAGCAGTCTGAGAGCGAAGTGCTCTGTTGGGGTGATATAGTACTAGTAAGTCTTTAACATACTAAGATGGGACCTGATGATTCAGTGCTTCGAGCTTTAAATTAAATTCTGAATGTAGCAGAAAGTCAGTGAGGACGAACCACTGTTTGAGAAATATACTCTGTCTAGCTATCCTATTTATCTCTGAGAATATTTTTAGCAGAAGCTGCTTTCACATGTCAAGTTAAGGTCGGATATCATCTGGGCCATTCTAACAAATGGATATGTTTTCTTTTAAACCATTCCATTGTTGCCCTGGCTTTATGTTTAGGGTCGTTGTCCTGCTGGAAGGTGAACCTCCGCCCCAGTCTCAAGTCTTTTGCAGACTCCAAGAGGTTTTCTTCCAAGATTGCCCTGTATTTGGCTCCATCCATCTTCCCATCAACTCTGACCAGCTTCCCTGTCCCCGCTGAAGAGAAGCACTCTCAGAGCATGATGCTGCCACCACCATATATGACAGTGGGGATGGTATGTTCAGAGCGATGTGCAGTGTTAGTTTTCTGCCACACATAGCGTTTTGCATTTTGGCCAAAAAGTTCCATTTTGGTCTCATCTGACCAGAGCACCTTCTTCCACATGTTTGCTGTGTCCCCCACATGGCTTGTGGCAAACTGCAAACTCTACCACTCTTCCATAAAGGCCAACTTTGTGCAGTGCACGACTAATAGTTGTCCTATGGACAGATTCCCCCACCTGAGCTGTAGATCTCTGCAGCTCGTCCAGAGTCACCATGGGCCTCTTGGCTGCATTTCTGATCAGCGCTCTCCTTGTTCGGCCTGTGAGTTTAGGTGGACGGCCTTGTCTTGGTAGGTTTACAGTTGTGCCATACTCCTTCCATTTCTAAATGATCGCTTGAACAGTGCTCTGTGGGATGTTCAAGGCTTGGGAAATCTTTTTGTAGCATAAGCCTGCTTTAAATATCTTAATAACTTTATCCCTGACCTGTCTGGTGTGTTCTTTGGACTTCATGATGTTGTTGCTCCCAATATTCTCTTAGACAACCTCTGAGGCCGTCACAGAGCAGCTGTATTTGTACTGACATTAGATTACACACAGGTGCACTCTATTTAGTCATTGGCACTAATCAGGCAATGTCTATGGGCAACTGACTGCACTCAGACCAAAAGGGGCTGAATAATTACGCACACCCCACTTTGCAGTTATTTATTTGAAAAAAAATGTTTGGAATCATGTATGATTTTCATTCCACTTCTCACGTGTACACCACTTTGTGTTGGTCTTTCACGTGGAATTCCAATAAAATTGATTCATGTTTGTGGCTGTAATGTGACAAAATGTGGGAAAGTTCAAGGGGGCCGAATACTTTTGCAAGCCACTGTAGTTCGATTCCATCAACAGTTTTGTTTCCAGTCTGCGTAACTCATGAAGCTAAATATTTAAATATCTACAGTTTCCCAGTTTCCGGACCCTAGGTACACAAATGATGCTTCAAACTCCGCAGTGTCCTGTCTAGTATTAACTGATGAAGGACCATAACCAATAAACAGAAACTTTCTTTTTGCTCAGCCTGAGTTTACCTTAAGGCTGAGCTTGGAATATGAGCTGGTTGATTATCAAGCAGAGGGTTAGGGTCTCATGAGGTAAAGCTGGAGATTTTAAGCAATGTCTCGCATACCTTGGACACCAGGTTGTGAATGTTATAACTAAAACTAAGGTAAAGCCTTCAATTTATGGAGAACCCATCAGAGTGTTTCCCTGACAGAATCTCTTTATCCAATACTAGATTTCCCCATTTCTTCATCAGTCAGATATGCTGCCACTTCACTTAGAGTATGTAGACTCTTTGAAATATTCCTCTGATCTAAAGCTAAATATCAGCTATATTCTGAGAAATGCTAGTACTCAATAACTAGCTTGAAAATGTAGAATTATTCTTACTGAGAAACAAATGCAGTTTACAGACTAATTCCCTGCTTCAATTTTGGTGCACACCACGCCGAGATATAACAAGTTTTCAGCTAATACCTCGTTGGGAATCACCTTGTTGGTGCAAAAATAGCATTTTATGTCTGTCAAATTGTGTTATCTTTGACATTTTTCAGAAATTCAACTAAGGAAAAGGGAACAAATAATGTGCTTTTGTGACAGGGTGCTAAGTAACTGGCATTGAATACATGCAGTTTTTCTGCATGTATAGCTAGCATTTCAGGTACCTCACTTGGAATTTTTATTCCAAATAACTAAATTAAAAATCAACTAAACAGCGTTTTATGGATCATAAAATCTGAAATTCTTTAACTGGAAGTGGTTTTATGTGTCAGGGAGATGATTTTATATGTTTTTTTTTAAATTCCTGACTGCTTAAAGTAATAAAAAGCGAACATCTGAGTCATTTCTCAGGTATTTTTATATTTCTATTTTGATTTTCCTGTTGCCTGCCACTAGCTTTCCTTAATATAACATAAGATCCCCAAGAAGTTTAAATTTTGTCATTAGTTTTAATTCTCCATTTATTATTTCAGTAAATCTTAAATATGCTTTATATTACTTTTACAGAAGTACACTCAGTTTTCCCACCTTAAAACCTTTTAAGCCTACTCAACAACAAACTTGGAAGGGCAAGTCACAGTTACGTGTCTTTATTTTTAGACTCTGATGAGATTCTGCAAGTTTCAGGTGTTAATTTTCACCCTGCCCCTTCCATTAATTAAAGCTGATAAATCAATAGAAGTGACTTGCAGCCCCTGCCTTTGGGGCACATTTGCTTTATGGCCCTGCTGTGTGGAGTCACATGTCTGAGGTGTGATTGAGGGTGTGTCGGGGTTGCGATAAGCCTCTAATCAAAGCTACATTATTGGCCCAGCTGACTGCAGGTAGAGCGGCGAGCAGTAACAACAGAAACACACACACACACACAAACACACACACTCTGTCTGACAGATAAGGCTTCAGGTAAACTCCTGTGACATTATGCGAACGCACGGCTGGCACATAGAAAAACACTCACCATTCAATAAATCCTTCTTTTTCTCTCAAATGGAGGACAAACTCTCCAAATTAGCTCCTCAAATATTGACTGGGAGAAATTGGTGGTCTCCCCGCTTGCTGTCAGAGCAGAGGGGCTCCTAAACACACTTTGGTCAGGTTTCGAGGTTTCACATTGATTTATTTTCGTTATTTGTTTGTTTAAATATCGTAAAAATAAATGTACACTCTGGCGAGGCTTATTTCTGCTTTGGGCACAGAGAAACCAATGTGCTGAGGGGAGAGAAAGCAGGAGAAAGCAGACCTTATTCTCTTGCTTTTTTATTCACCTTCTCCCTCCCTTCTCCTCTTCCTCCTCCTCCTCTCAAGCTACAAAACCAACTCACTTCATATTAATTGATGTGAAATGCTGAAATCAATTTGTTGGATCCGGAGGCCCCGAAGCGCCAAAATCAAATGTTAAAACTAGTTTAAATCCCTCCTCTTTGCTCCATGGAAGGTGTCACAAAAAGCAGATGAATTTTAATTTGATTTTAACAGAACAATGCGTCAACATAAAGAGGCTTAGTTTCAGCCTCCACCACTAAGTGTTAATGGCACACTGCGAGAACTGATGTGTATAAAATGCTAAAATATTGATGCTAAAAGCCTTACTTAATGTTGCTTCATTGCTTCATATACATTTTACTTGTTAGTAAAAATGTAACTATATTTACCATTTTTATATACGATTCTTTCAGCTGCCCTTCCTGATGCAACCAGAGATTTGAGTCCTTATCACACCAGTTACTTGTAATATAGAGACTCAGCACATTTTAATTTTATATAATATTATACATCATTAGAGACAGAGACTAACAGTCCTGTTGGATTGGTGATAAAGCAATAAATTGCTGCTAACTTTACTAAAACATTCAGTACTGATGCCGCTTGTCACTTAAAGTGTTCATTTTTATTCATCAAGCAGAAGCCTCCAGCGTTTAAACAAGTAAAACTTACACTGAACTGTCAAAAGCTGCAATTCCTGTAATGGCCACCTGAAGCTGACTCCAAACATTGAATCAATCTCCATAGACTCATGTTAAAATGCTCAACTTCACACCAGAAAAAAAAAAACATCTTTACAGCCTGCTACAAAAAATGGTTTTAGTCTGTCATGTTAAATGAAAATTATATTATTACAATTCTGAGTTATAAACTATGGATGTTGACAAT